ATGTATATGGGTCATCACACACACAATCCCTTTTCATGTGATAAAAGACGTACTAGCCAGAGCTGGGATAAATCATTTTTGTAGTAACCTTCTGATTCCATCTGCCAACCACCAGTCTATATATATGCACTTAGACACAAACTTTCCAAAATCTGACGATTTCTGAACAACACATAATTTCCCCATTCATCAAGCATAGTGACATTTGACCTACTCTTTATACACTGCTCAAAAAAATAAAGGGAACACTTAAACAACACAATGTAACTCCAAGTCAATCACACTTCTGTGAAATCAAACTGTCCACTAAGGTAGCAAAACTGATTGACAATCAATTTCACATGCTGTTGTGCAAATGGAATAGACAACAGGTGGAAAGCATAGGCAGTTAGTAAGACATCCCCAATAAAGGAGTGGTTCTGCAGATGGTGACCACAGACCACTTCTGTGGGAACTATGATTCTTTGTTCTTTGTGTATGTGCTAGGATAACGGAGCCTTCTGGTGGTTGGCTGGAACACGGAGCAAGGAGCAAGGAGAAATTGTTGCCATTTCTTAACCAGAACTGTAGCAAACTTAAACTTTGCAGCCTTGTATGCTTTATGCGAATGATCAGTGCATGTTGTGTGATGTAATGCGTTTGTGATAGGACATTAACAAAATTGCTACGTTAACAAAGATTGCTTCTAATAAAAGAGGGTTTCGGAGTTCTCTCTGCGCTCTCATCCCAAGACAACTTTGCGTAGTGTCTTCTTTTCATGAGAGACCACCACAACTGGTGACCCCAACGTGATCCACTCAAAAGCGATACGTCTTTGGCACACCCATTCTCATCGTCTGGAATAGACTTGGTGCACCCCATCCGCTTGAATCGCTGGCGACAACGGATCCCTCATGAATATGGGTGGTAGATTCTCTAAGGAGCAGGCAGCTCACATTCAGGAAATCAGAGAATTGACCAAACGAAATTTTTTTACCTTTAAAAGGGGGGGCTCCCTTTGTGCCCCCCTCCCAAAAAACTCTATTGAGGAACTCCTAGAATACATTTGGCAACACTGCCCTTCTTATCCGGCTAAAGGCAGTATCAAAACTACAGTATGGAAGGAGATTGGAAAATACCTTCATGCAAGTCCTAGGGCCCCTTCGTCTATATTAATTGCTTGGAGGGTGGGTTTTGAGGCTCTCTCCTGTCTAGAGCAATCCCTACTTGGCCCCCTTTCTGGACCCCCTCCCTATGTGAATCCTGCTGTACAACTCTTGCCCCCCACTGTGGCACCTGTGTCTCTTAAACCAACTACCCCCCCGGAGGCAAATGAGGTCGGTAAACCTCCCCCCCTTCTCCTGACCCCCCCCCACCCAATCCCTCTTCTTCTTCTCTTGCTTTCCCTTCTGTGCCTTCTTTTCCTGCCTTACACCCTCCTATGGGCACGGTTCATGCTGCCATCGCTGCAGGAGTTAGAACTGGCGAGTTAGATCACTCCGACTGCCCATCGGCGTTCCCATTAGTTTATGCACAGAACACGCAGGGACAAAACGTCCTGCACTGGGAACCCATCCCTGTTAAATCAATCAAGGATATCAAACAAGCTGTACAAATGTATGGTATTCAGGCTCCATTTATGATGGGATTATTTAGAATGATGGCTAACACCCATATAATGATCCCAGCTGATTGGCATAGCCTTTTTCATATGACTCTAACAGGGACTCAATTTGTTGTATGGCAATCGGAGTTTCTCCATCATTGTCACCTATTGGCAGCTCAAAATCCGAATCTTACCGCAAATGAACTGGCAGGACAGGGTGCCTTTGCTGCTCCCACAGCTCAATATAATAGCCCTATTAATGCTCTTAACCTTTCTGCACAAGCCGCTCTGCTTGCTCTCTCTCGCTTGGATGACCCTCATACCTCTGCACAATCTTTTGCAAAAATTCTACAAAATTCCAATGAACTCTATGCCGATTTTATTGAACGCCTCCAAACGGCCCTACAAAGGCAAATTACAAATGAGGCGGCTCGGCAGGAAATTCTTCTTAAATTGGCATATGAGAACGCTAATGCAGACTGTAAAACCTTGCTTACTCCCTTGATTAATTCTACAGTTGCCACTCTAGCCCAATTCTTACAAGCCTGCAGCGTGGTGGGAACACACCAATACACTTCCAAAATGATGGCTGCAGCTATCACCAGAGGTAATAAGCCATCTGGTAATTGTTACAATTGTGGGAAGCCCGGCCATTTTAAATCACAATGTTGAGCCCCCGACGGGGGGGGGGGGCAGCAAAGCCCTCCGCCAGTAGAGATGTTCGACCAAAAACAGTCTGCCTGAAATGTAAGAAAGGCTATCATTGGGCTAATCAATGTCGATCAAAAACTGAACCCTCAGGAAACGAGTAGAGGGGCCGGCAGCTAGCCCCTCTCCCAAGGCTGCCCATATACCATCCACTGTGTATGAATTATCAGTGGCAGAAGATGTGCTCATATCCTTTCCCCATCTACCACTCTCTGTCGGCGCACAGCTTCCTCCTTCTGCCTCCTTCTCCTCTGATAAAACTGCTCTTATACAATCTCACCCTCATGCCCTCCTCAAAGGAATCTCTGTGGTTCCCGATCTGTTTTATCCTTCCTCAAAACTCTCAGCCATTAACCTTTCTGTGCTATCCACTCTTCCAATGAAGTTACAAAAGGGTGACGTCGTAGCAAAATGATCATGGTACCGCAAATTCCCTCTGATGTGCTTGCCCTCACTAGATCTATCACCAAAACTAACCCCACACTCTTGGCTTTAATCAAGGGTCGCCGCTTCACCGGTCTTCTGGACTCTGATGCTGACGTCTTGGTGATACGCTCTGACAAGTGGCCTACAGACTGGGAAACAGAGACCTCCCCATCGGTAAGAGGTGTAGGAGGGATTCAAACGGCTTGCATCAGTAAGTTTTGGCTCCCTGTGACTTCTGAAAACCTCCCTGTGACTGCACAAATAAAGCCCATCATCCTCCCCCTTCACATGAATTTGTGGGGAAGGGACTTACTCTCTCAATTTGGTGCTAAATTGCAGCTAGAATGACTCACCCTCTTCCCCTTCGCTTGACCTTAACCACGGACGCTCCTGTTTGGGTTGATCAATGGCCGTTGCCAGCAAATAAATTGCTTGCATTGCATCAATTAACAGCCGCATCCGCTGCTACTATTCTATCCGCTTTCTCTCTTTCTCCCCTAACCCCTTGGAACAGTCATAACTATTTTCATCAAAATAAAAGGGCTCTTATGAAGGAATTCCAAATCACCGCCCAAAAGGCTGCTGCAATTATTCAATAATGCCCTACTTGCAGCAAGCAAGCCCCTGCCCTGCCAATGGGAGTAAATCCCAGAGGCTTAAAAGCCTGCCAAATTTGGCAAATGGATGTAACCCAGTATGCGCCTTTTGCACCATGGAAATATATCCATGTTTCAGTGGACACATACTCAGGGTTCATCATGGCCTCCCCGCAAAAAGGAGAGACCACAAAACATGTCATTAACCACTGCAGTCGGTCATTTGCGTGCCTGGGAAAGCCCTCAGAATTAAAAACTGATAATGGCCCCGCCTATACTAATACCAACTTTGCTACCTTTTGTAAACAATGGGGCATTTTGCACAAATTTGGCATTCCATACAGTTCTCAAGGGCAGGCCATAGTAGAAAGAGCCAATCTGACCCTAAAGAATGCTCTTGACAAAGTTCAAAACTCGATGGGGAAACTCACCCCAGGGCTACCCACGCTGCAAAACAAACTTAACTTGTGCTTATTTACACTGAATTTCCTGAATGAGTCTGGCACACCTGCTTCTTCTGCCACCTCTCGACACTTTTGCTCTCCATCCAAGGATGCTCCTAGACCTCCAGTCTACTTTTGACAGTTGCCAGATCCCACATGGCACGGGCCAGCTGAACTTATAACCTGGGGACGAGGGTACGCGGCTGTTTCTTACAACAATGCCACCACCTGGGTCCCCGGACGACAAGTGAGGCCTTTTCTACCCAAACCAGCCTTGCCTACATCAGCATCATGAAACTGCCTGCTGCATTCATCATTTGCCTCCTGGGTTTCCACATCGTTCCTGCCGATACGACAGCCACCCCATCCTCCTGCGACGCCTGCATCAAAACTACTCGTAGCGGAACGAAAACCCAATCCACCCTGATCTATCATACCTTGAAGCCTGAGTGCAACTCCACAACGGTCTCCCCTTGTCTTCATAACAACACTCAATATGCGTGATGTTACACTGCCGAAGGCATTCAGTGCTATGAGCCCAAGGCAGTGGGACCCATTACAGCATCCCTATATGTCTATGCATACAAAGGTGGCTCCAGTTCTGATCTTGCAGGAATGTTCTCTATCAGTCAAACAAAAAATGGGTACATAACCCATAATGTCACTCGGGGGGGGTACCAACACCTCAGTATGCTTTGATGCTTGCCTTGCCATCAGCAAAGGTCAAGGTCCTAGCGATGCTGCCGGAGTTACCTGCGGCTCACACAGCTGGCAGAGATCTTATCTACAGGAAAAGAAATATCTCTTTCAAAAGGTGTCCGGGACTAACGTGGGGGCCACCACTGTTTACAACTACTTGTACACCCCACCTATTGACTCTGCTCAAGTAAGAGACCCTCAAAATATTAATATCACTGTTAAATCAAGCTCTACTTCATGTACCACTGACAAATGTAATCCCATTTGCTTGTACACTCACTTACCTGAATCTAAGTGGGTACAATATCGTTTTTTAGGTTTTGGTATCGACGGTACCGGACGTGACCCATATGGTTATATTAATTGTTGTATTGAGGTAGATGATAGCAGAAAAGTTATCCAACAAATTACTGATAGAATGATCAAGGTTGCGCATGTACCCATACAAATATGGAATGGTCTTGATTTTAGAGACATGTTTGGATCTTGGTTCCCAAAATTGCCTGGTTTGCAAGCTATTGTAGCGCTCATTGGTATGATTGCTGCAGGGTATGTTGTATTGCCTTGTGTATTACCCATCTTTGTACGCACAATTTCTAACAGTTTATCCCTCTTGGCTGAGAAAAAATCCACTGCGCAGGTAATGGCTCTCTGGAATCAACAAATAACTAACACATATGAACCACTGCCATCCGAAGATGAGATAGGGGAGCCAACCTGTGACGACCCAGACGAAGACAAGATGTTTGTGATGGTTGAAGAAGTCACGAACGCCGTGGATAACATCAGCATGCACAGCACTCTTGCCTATGCGCCTGACAAAGACTGTTATTGGAACTAAAACACTCCCTGTCTCTTAAAAAGGAAAAACAGGGGAGATGTGGGAACTATGATTCTTTGTTCTTTGTGTACGTGCTAGGACAACGGAGCCTTCTGGTGGTTGGCTGGAACACGGAGCAAGGAGCAAGGAGAAATTGTTGCCATTTCTTAACCAGAACTGTAGCAAACTTTAACTTTACAGCCTTGTATGCTTTATGCGAATGATCAGTGCATGTTGTGTGATGTAATGCGTTTGTGATAGGACGTTAACAAAATTGCTACATTAACAAAGATTGCTTCTAATAAAAGAGGGTTTCGGAGTTCTCTCTGCGCTCTCATCCCAAGACAACTTTGCGTAGTGTCTTCTTTTCATGAGAGACCACCACAACTTCTTAGTTCCTATGCTTTCTGACTGATGGTTTGGTCACTTTTGAATGCTGGCGGTGCTTTCACTCTAGTGGTAGCATGAGACAGAGTCTACAACCCACACGAGTGGCTCAGGTAGTGCAGCTCATCCAGGATGGCATATCAATGAGAGCTGTGGCAAGAAGGTTTGCTTTGTCTGTCAGCGTAGTGTCCAGAGCATGGAGGCGCTACCAGGAGACAGGCCAGTACATCAGGAGATGTGGAGGAGGCCGTAGGAGGGCAACAACCCAGCATCAGGACCACTACCTCTGCTTTTGTGCAAGGAGGGACAGGAAGAGCACTGCCAGAGCCCTGAAAAATGACTTCCAGAGGGCCACAAATGTGCATATGGCTGCTCAAATGGTCAGAAACATGGGTGGTATGAGGGCCTGACATTCACAGGTGAGGGTTGAGCTTACAGCCCAACACCGCGCAGGACGTTTGGCATTTGCCCGAGAACACCAAGATTGGCAAATTTGCCACTGGTGCCCTGTGCTCTTCATAGATGAAAGCAGGTTCATACTGAGCACATGTGACAGACGTAACAGGGTCTGGAGACCCTGTGGAGAATGTTCTGCTACCTGCAACATCCTTCAGCATGACCGGTTTGGCAGTGGGTCAGTAATGGTGTGGGGTGGCATTTCTTTAGGGGGCCACACAGCCCTCCATGTGCTCACCAGAGGTAGCCAGACTGCCATTAGGTACCGAGATGAGATCCTCAGACCCCTTGTGAGACCATATACTGGTGCGGTTGGCCTAATGCAAGACGATGCTAGACCTCATGTGGCTGGAGTGTGTCAGCAGTTCCTACAAGATGAAGGCATTGATGCTATGGACTAGCCTGCCCATTCCCCAGACCTGAATCCAATTGAGCACATCTGGGACATCATGTCTCGCTCCATCCACCAATGCCACGTTGCACCACAAACTGTCCAGGAGTTGGGGGATGCTTTAGTCCAAGTGTGGGAGGAGATCCCTCAGGAGACCATCTGCCACCTCATCAGGAGCATGCCCAGGAGTTGTAGGGAGGTCATACAGGCATGTGGAGGCCACACGCACTACTGAGCCTCATTTTGACTTGTTTTAAGGACATTACATCAAAGTTGGATCAGCCTGTAGTGTTTTTTTCCACTTTAATTTTGAGTATAATTCCAAATCCAGACCTCCGTGGGTTGCTAAATTTGATTTCCATTGATATTTTTTGTGTGAGTTTGTTGTCAGCACATTTAACTATGTAATGAACAAAGTATTTAATAAGAATATTTCATTCATTCAGATCTAAGATGTCTTATTTTTGTGTTCCCTTTATTTTTTTGAGCAGTGTATATTAGTTTATTATAGCCAAATGATTGAAGTAGGTTAATTTGTAAAGCTCTCAAGAAGCACACTTTCTTACCTCTACCAGTATACAATGCATTAGTGGTGCAAAATAGGCTCATGAGCTGACAGATCCTTATTTGTAGTAGTGATGTTTGCTATGTGCAACCTTTTGATTATTAATTTTTATTTCTCCCTACCAGAGTACACAAAGATTAAGACCAGATAATTCTAAGCTCATCCAGAATGGTATATTGTTAACATAATAAAAATCTATTCAGCCAAAGATGCAAATCATTCTAGTTTACAATGCTAATATGTATATGAAGCGGAATGTAGATAAATTATACATGAGATTTAGCAGCCTGCCTACCAAAATGAGAAAAGTAGATGTTACTCAGGAAAGATAGCCAATGAAATGTTGAAAGTCTTTACCTTATACTATTGATAAATGAGCTAGTTCTTGATACCTTAAAAGAGTGGCATGGGTAGATGAATTAAAATAATATAATTATTCAGAATTTATCTGATGCCATAAATTAGATTATAGTGTTTCATCATTTATTGTATACAACTCAGCTGCCAATGCTGCCCATATGAGGTCAGCCGGACAGTTATAATTTATCTCTAGTTCTTGAATTATATCTTCAAGGGTAGCAAAACTAGAAAGACACAGCTTCTGAATATGTGGGTCAATTTATGTCTGAAACTAGGAAGTATCTTTAAAACTCAAAGATGTTCTCCAATTTTCCTCTTTGATAATATCTGATAGTTTGGCAATCAATTGCCAAAGTCTCCAATCTGAGACTTAACACTGCCATGAAGTAAAGAAATTATTTGCCTTTCTATTCTTCCAGGATATTTCCAGTCCAAATAAAAGGCTTGTATATCTACTGTCAAAGTCAAACCAGGCCCAAGTATGCTTAATTTTCAAATCCAGACAAGGACACCATCAAACATTAATCTGGCTTTTACAATACTATCTATAAAAAATCTGTAAGTTCCCGTACACATTTTGCAAAGTGTAAATATTGATTTGATTATGACTGTATAAGGGTAAAGAAGGCCTTAATGACTAATTACCAAACAAGTAATATTTCAGTAGCTGTAGTTTCTCTGCTTTTTCATTTTTCAATGTATCACAAAAGCAAATATCACACATGAACTCTCTTAAAACTTTTTCAATATGCCAAGAGGAAGTTGCGCCCTTGAGAAATTGTTCTTGAATTAATTATCTCCATGTTCACCTAATCCTTGGGGTTAAATTCGTTGCCATCATGTGACATTTCATGACATTTTTGCCATTCATGGTACCTGAGGTGGACATGGCTTGCGCATGATGCATTCAACCTGTGGGCCACCAGTTTGACACCACTTATCTACTCTGTCCCCCACAAATATTATCATTTGTGTCCAGATCAGAGAAGAATCCACAAATGCTACATGCTTACCAGAACTGTGTCTTGTTCTCCATGTTGACAACTGCACCAGTTTTATGTTTGGGACAAATTACTTGATCAAGAAAGCTCCATACTATTATTAATTGATTAAACATAAAGCAAAAAAAAGGCATAAAATGAAGTGCAAATCTGTTACTGCCTCACTAAGCAACATAAATTTTGGGCTCAATTATGGTTGTACCTGTATTGGTTTCCCAAATTGATATTTCTTAACTAAAAACGGCAATATAATCATAAATCAAGTGTTGCAGTTCCTTATTTGAAGACATTTTGCCAGAGGCTCTTTCCCACTGAGCAGTGCTGGTCTTCTTCATGTGCTTCTTTCTGTAAGGTATTCTTTTATCTTTATCTTTTTTTCTTTTGCCTGTAGGCCCATTCTCAGTATTGTACATGATGAGTTATTGAGTGAAAATTTCAAGTTAGTTCAGCTAGGTACCCTCTTGGCTTCCATCCATCAGAAAGTTCTGTGTTTGGGCCTATGGGTAAAATGCTCATGTCTGTGAGGGCTAATTACCTCTGGAATCAGAGTGGGATATTGGGATACACAAGTTGTTTGTTTGTGGAAGTGTGTTGTACAATGCCAAACTCTTGCTTTTCTATTAGCAAACAGTCTCTTGAATTTTTCAGTGACCTTAAGTAAGATAGCATTTTGCCTGAGCCTGCTTGCAAAGATACCAGCAATGAAACAGTTTCTCAGCAGCCTTAAGGTGCCACTACTCAACTGAGTAAAAGCACAATAAAATAATTCTGTATAGAAAGATAGAAAAAAAAAACAATGTGATAATAACATAATGATTGTTTTGACGATTGGATCTTATAGAGTTGTTTTACCTAGGAGAAAATTTATTTGGATTTTTTTTTCCTTTATGAGATTGCACTTAATTTGATAGGAGAAAAATGGCTTTCAAAATTATTTCAAAAAGAAGGCAAACTTCTCCTGAATGAAATGTTTCTCTACTTATTAACGGAATCAAAATTCAGGCAGTTGCAAGGGGATATTAATTGAATCAAATATGACTGGTTCTGATCAGTGGAGGAATTCATAGTAGAGAAATTCTAGTAGCTGCTGCTAGCTTCAAACTGACATATTTAATAAAGAGGAAAATCCCACATCTAAGGGTATTATTTCACCCCTCTTTATTATTGGATCCCCTCCACCCAATATTAAATCACAATTTACTTACTTAAAAATTTCTCTCTGGTCTACCTTCTGAAATGATAGAGGATAAATCTTGACCTTGTTCTGAGACATCTTTTTTCAAGTCTTTATAGAGTGCCATCAGATCCATGTTCAATATTGTCTTAAGAATAAAGAGTTCAAGTTTTTCCATGACTCTTTATGATACATGGTCTCCTAATTCACACTGATATTTCATAAGTTTCTTCATATTTCATTTTTATGTTAACAACACGTGTTTCTGTTAATATTTTCAGGCCATTTCTAATATAATCTTCTGTCCCTTAGATATTAATTAATGTCCTCTGCAAATCTGATAAAAATCTCCTTTATTTTTTATTAAAGTAATAATAAAAAAATAATAAAGTTTAGACCCAGAACCCCTAAGCTATCTCTGCTATTTGATGTATTGCCATTGATGAGCCAATAAACCATTCATTTAACTGTCATGTCATCTAATATGCAGTTCAGCACTTTAATAATCAGATTGTCCTAGCCCTTCATAAATCTGAGTATGTTTGTTGTCTCCTCCGGTTAATGTTCACTCTCTGAGTTAGACCTTCTGCTAGAGATTAGTTGTTACTGTTATTATGGATCCTGATCATTGCTGACTCTGGGTAACTTCCTGGACAGTTTCTTTGAATGTTTTCAGATGTGGTTTGCCGTTATCTCCTCCCTATTGGCTAAGAGAGAGTAATTGGCTCAAGGTCACCTAGCTGGCTTTTTATTTAATGCAGGTGCCCCAGTTTCTAGCCCAATGCTTTAAACACTATGCCAAAGTGATGCCTGTCTATATTGTTATATCATTTTAACCCTATTATATATGGATTGGGGTGGCATATAAGTCAAGTACATAAATAATCAGAATACCATGGATATTTTGTCAAATATTTTCTTGAAATTAAAGCATGTTATATTAGTAGCACTTCCCTTTTAAAGATGTTCTGATTAATAGACAACATAAAAATTGTATGGCAAATTTTTTATTTCTTATTTATATATAGAAAAAATGAACAGAAAAAGCAACAGACATTGTTAACTCTACTGTTGGAGTAGAGTTAAGCATTAATCTATTCAATATGTCTTTAAGGTAGTTGATTTTTACTCGATGTATTGCTAAGTAGTCTTTTATTACATTTATATTACAAATTTGAATATTTCTGACATGGGTGCATATTTATGCTTTGTGCATAAAGACAAGTGATATCTTAAATTATTATACATATATAAATTATTATTTATTTAATTATAATGATAAATAAATAAATAATTATTTAATTATTAGGCAAGTTGATTTAAGTAATTTTAAATTAGGATTTACCAAACTTTCTGCAGTTGGGAACCAGAAAATAAACATTCAGAAATGAGGACCTTTCATTATAGAAATAATCCCTGTCAGATTTTCACCATTAAATATGTAGGAATTAACATTTTTTGGTGAATAAGAGTATTTTATTTACTTACCCATTTATTTACTTATTTACTTACTTGCTTTACTTACTCATTTATTTAATTATTTTTATATATTTATCCTATCTTTATTATGTTATAAATAACTCAAGATAAAGAACATATCTAACACTCCCTTTTCTTCCTATTTTCCTCACAACAAAAACCTGATGAGTTGGGCTAAGAAAGAATGATGGCCCAAAATTGCTGATTTTCATGCTTAAGGTGGAACTTGAACCCACAGTCTCCTGGTTTCTAGGCTAGTACCTTAACTACTATACCAGACTGGCTCCTTTATGTTTTAGGATTATGTTTGCTTTATAATTGCTAAAATGAAGTTGTGTACCAAAATATTTAATCCCAAATTATTTGTTTACTTCTTGAATTGTGTTATGCCTCTCATGCCAAAATAACAATTCTTAGCATGAATTTGCTATCAAGAATGTCTGTCAATAGGTATCTTAGAGTCTAAAGCAGGGGTATAAAACTCATGTCGCCACAGCGGCATTTTGCTGGGACAAAACCATGATCCCAGTTAGCAAAGCAGAGGTAAATTGTCAATAACAAAGAGCAGTGAAGTTGACGTGATCCATTGGTTCTGAGCCTTGCATGTGGGGAAGAAGTGACAAAATACTGATGAGCCTTTGTAGGCTAAAGTATAATAATCAACAAGCCACATTATGAAAATCACAAATATACCTTTATAAATTGTCCACATTCGGGCCCATATAATGAAAAAACTGTAATAGTTTTTCCAGATTCATCCAAAGACTTTCCAGGCAATCCTGAACTGATTTTTAATTGTGGATACTTGGGATATTTGTACTCTAGACCTATCTTATTAACTTTATGGTTGAGCTGATATTTGAATCCAATACCTGGCAGTTTAACTATGACACACATAATACAATGCACCATCAGCATCATCTAACTTCTAAAGAGTAAATAAATTGCACCCAGTTTTTCACTTTGTCTCTTTTCACCTTTCCAAATGATTTCATTGCAAAATGCCTTGGGATGTAATGCCGTATATTTGATTAATTGGACTTAATGGTTTTGTTAATATTTGTGATAAATGCCTAATGTAAAGCCATTAGACCTTTACTAAATCATTCAGCAGTTTGCATACCAAAAAAGAACTGGGAGCATATTTTACCCTGCTACTCTTTCACCCAACTTGTCTACTGCTTTGGTATGTGGGGATTAACAAAATGAAATTGTGCACATGTTTAGCTTTTCTGAAAAGCCACAACTTTTATAGAAGATCAAAGAAAAATTGAGACAGTGTCTTATCCCTAAAACACAGATTTATCATCCTCTGAACAAGAGAGGCTGTAGTATTATATGTGTTTGTTTGGCCCATACTGACAAACACCATTACATTTCTAATGCACTACTAAATCTCTCCTTTTTTTATTAAGTCTTAGAAAAGATCCACTTTGTAGGCAGTAGACCTTTAACATTTCTTTTATCACACAGTTTCAGTAGGTTGGCTGGGCTCTACTGTATTAGCCCTGCCAGAAGCTGTCTCTTGTGATTTGCTGACACAAAATGCAGCTTCTGGTACTGCAGACTCAGCAAATAGGGACAGCATGACTGGACTAGCTTCAGAAATGGCAAGATGTTGCAAATTGCTGAGGGTAGAATGATTCCCAGTTTTCCCTCAGTTTTCTCCATCTTCTCAACTAAGAAGTTTTGGCTTCCCTTTTTCTCTTGACAGCTTCATTTCCTTTTCATAACAGGAAGCAATTTTATTTACTTATTTATTTTCTTACAGAAATCCAACCTGTTGACTCCAAGCAGCAGAGAACTGCCCGATATGTAATTGGGATTACAAACCTATCATCAGTTAAGAATCAACAGCTAGAAATATTCCTATGGAAGCAGCAGTCACTAATAAAAGAATTAGCGATAATAAAGGAACACCTTTTCACATCTGAGAGACAATTACAGCAATCTAGCCTTCTGCCTTGGTGGAACAATCAGATTTTTATTAACTTCCTAAAAGTTAGAAAGAAGAAGCTAATCATAAATTAAAGACTGCTGTTCCAGAGAGCAACTGAACAGATACATTTACCCTGCTCTGAAAAAGTAACATATCTAATAAGAGGACATGTAGGAAATCCTGCCAGGACTACCAAACTGGTAATACCAAAAGAAAGAAGCCCTGCAGAGAGCCAGACCCCAAGCCCCAAAGGTGACAATCAACACTTTGAATTGTATCTAGAACCTAGTGTAAGATCTGCCATTGCACTGCTTCAGTCCTACTTTGCTTTGATGGCAGCCTGCAATAAAGTAGGGGAGGAAGAGGGGGGGAAGGGGGGATGCACGGGGTGGGAATGACAGGAACCAGAAGTGCCAACCTGTCATGCCCCTTTCTCGGAGTCTGAATCTGCAGAGAAGATGAACAGCTGACAAAGAGTGGGAGTGTGGCTCTGTTGGTTGTGGAGGAAACTGGGGAAGTACAGCTGGGCAGAGCAGGAAAGAGGTGGAACAAGGGAGAGGAAGTTCAGAGGAAGACCCAAGCCCACCTCCTCTTCATCCTAGGATATGCAGGGAGGAAGGGAGAAGAGAGCAACGTGGGTTGTGTGGCTTACGGTGGAGAAAAGGGCCCTAATTACTTTCATTAGGCACACCTGGGAAGAGAATTTTAAAAAGATGTGAGTGCGACTTCTGCTGGGAACAAACATGAGTTTATCTTGTGCTGACTTTAATTTCTGTGTTCCTGGCATCCTCCCAGGTTGAATTACTGCTGTTCCTTCACATCTGGAATTTTTTCTCTTGCCCTGCCAAACTACTTACCTCATCTTGCCTTTATTGTACTTATAGTTACAGTTTTTGTTGACAATGTTTTAGACTTGAATCTCTGCAGCTAAAGGCTTTTCCTGGGAGAGTTTTTCTTCAGCCCAGAAGGTAACCAGGACATTGAGGACAAAGTTGGAGCAAATAAAAGGACTCCTACTTATTTTTTGACTGTATTGCCTTTGTACCATGGCCCAGATCATCACACAACCAGAGACACCACTTGAACAATCTGTTAAGGTAATTCCCTGTTAGGAGAATGAGCGCATACAGGGAGACATATTTGAGAGTAGTGTTTGAATAATACACACACAGCACACAGATACACTGTACAGTAAATGTAGGTTTTTTACTTTCAATAAAGGTTTAAGCAAAGTTCAAAATAGGCAGTCCAAAGTCATTCACAGGTAAGATCAGTCAGTTTTTAGTCCAGGAATAATCCAATAACAAAGTCCAGTGTCAAAAACAGTTCAGTAACAGATTTACATCAAATCTATGAATAACAGTCCATTAGGAGGAACAACAATCCTCTCCAACAGAAGGAAACAGACTCTCATTGAGACACACTCTCTTCTGAGACTAAGACTAAACAACCCAGGTTTCTGGCTCCATCTTATGGCCGTTTGAGAAACCACACCCAATTACACTTTTAGGATTCTCTTAAAGAGACAGTATTAAAATGACTATCCTGGTTTATATATTTCTAACCCAAAAACCTGTTAGGTGATTTATATTCCTAATACAATCCAAGAATACAGGCATGGGAATTGAATATGAACATTTATCAAAGAGGCACCCAACCTCAAAACTGTTACCAAAACAACTAATTTGAATTTTATTGGACATTAGTAAGAAATCCAGGAGGGAAGGCCTAGGAGAGGGGGAAAATAATGGTTTTACACAAGAATCCTTAGGTCTGGTTTTTCCTACACTGTAATCACTTGGCTTTAGTAAAAGTGTACCTTTCACTGCAAATGGAATTGAGGATCTTTTTTCCTAATTGCCCAAGCTGGGACAGGCCTGACACCTAGTGTGGTTTCTCTGAGCATAGTGCCATATGGCTGCTTGAGATGAAGTTATTACTCTGTCTCATCACTGTTGCATTCTGAACCAGCTGTAGTGATATAAAATGAAGGAAATGAAGGGCACTGAAGGCCAGTGCTTAACTGACAAAAATAAATCATTGTTTAAATGTTTCCAACTGACGTGAGTTTTGTCACTGAATCTTAGACCTAAGAAACAAGATGCAATTATTTGTCTACCAACATTTTCTCTTTAGAAGCCTTTCTTGCTTCCTATTCTAAGAACACATTTGATTGTATTTGAAATTTGGCCTGATTGCTTGTCTAATTCAGACCTCATAATATTTAGGGACTACAAAACATAACTGAATTCTGAATTGCTATTCAATGCCAAAAGGAAAAAGGCTTGAGCATGCTAAACTCATAGCACAATCCTTTTTCTGCAATCAGGACTGAATCTTGCTTTTGACTGAGCAGCACTATTTCCTAGTAATTCTAAGATGATATGATAGGGTTCTTCTTTCCCCTCCGGGGCACTTTATCTGCTTAGATCAGGAGTGAGCGATGTCCGTTCCCTTAACCAGACTACTGTAAAGTGCAAATTTTAATCCCACTGCCATCACCTAATGAATGTACACAGTTGTTTTAAAGAAGTGAGGTAGTTTAAAACCCTGGTTGTGTATAAATTCCAAATTATATAAGCAATTGCCACTTACTGGTGGTATGTTCACCTGCCTCACACAAGTAAGTCATATTTCATGCACTCATGCAATATATGATATTGCAATAGAAAACAAACAAACATGCAGCAGAAAGATGTGTTCCAGTCTGGGAAAACAATAATAGAAGCAGCAGCAGCAGCAGGGGGAAGTAAATGAATTATGAAAAGCTTATAATAAAGCCACACTTGAATGACCAAATCTGATCCATACAAAAATCCTTTCTAATTTTTGAAAGACCGAAGTACACATTTCAGCATATAATGTCTTAAATGAATGCAGCTGTGTTTTATGCTTGCAAGCATAATCAGACATTGCTAGATATGTAATCATTTAAATGAATGCAGCTGGGCCTTTGGAAGAAAAACCCAGATTATCTATATCTAGCTTTAAATAACCATGAATGCTAAATTCCAGGACAGATACTTTAACATAATGTAGCCCTTCTGTGCTGTAGATGGCTCAGTGCCAACATAAATGATCTGGGACACTGATGGAGAAACCAAACTGCAAATAGCTATAGGCAGTGTTAGCCAGGATATGAATTTATTTTTTGTAAAATAATCTAACTTTATTAAGTTGGATGTAAAAAAAATGCACTTGGTAAACTAATTGGAAAACATAGTCTAAGTCACTGAGCCAAAATGAAATAGAAAGGCAAAAAGGTTAAGCTATGGTTCTAATAAAGCTCAGGGCTGATTGCAAATGGAAGAGATTATTAGTATATTAGTTCAAAGGCAAATCAGTTAAAAGCAGAGTCCAGATCAGGAAATACCCAAAGGATCTTACAAATCTTTGTACAACTATGTACAACACAGGGGAACGCTATGTATGCTATTTGATTTCCTAAAAGAAATTTTTAAAATGCCTCTGAGTCATAATTACAGAATGATGATCATGTACAGAAGTGGATTTACAGCTCTAATGATCATGTACAGAAGTGGATTTATCAGATCTAATGAGCCGTGGAAATGCTGTAGTGTTCTTAGACAAATACAATCACAAC